GATAGAAACAGTCTATGCTCTTTTTTAATATAATTTGTTGTCAGGAAGACAACAAAACTTTACTGGTACACTTTACACACACAATATCCTTTTTTTATATAAACATGCAGTGAAGGACCCTAAGGCTACAGTGCAATCGACAGTAGTCCTTAAACCTCCGCTCTCACTGCCAAAAGAATACTGTAGAGGGTGGTATGAAATTCACTGATATCATATAAAATAGATTTTTAATCTTGCACAACATAATGGAACCCATTTAGAATATATTTTTGAAATCACCTCAGTAGTTCTCTTTCCATCCATACCTTGTAGTTTTTATTCCAAAGCAGCTTTGCACTAAAAAAAACTTAGAAATTTAATCTGATACTATTTATAGTATTTTACATAATATGAAAGTTAAAATATATATTTTTTATTTTATAAAACATTTGATATAACACATTTGTATCATTGTTTTACACAAAAAAACACAACATAATGTAAAGAGAGTGACATACTGTATACTCTGTCTTTGGAAGTTAATGACTTCATTTGTAGACCTTTTTAATTATGCAGTTTCTCATTACGGTGAACAATGACTCATTTATTTTCCACAGATACGCAAATAGTACAATTAACAAAATGTGCATGGAGGTGTATGTACAGTTTATTTTCTATATAAAGGAATGAAAAAGAAAAGAAATTTTAAAAGTCAAAATTCACTTTTACACTTGCTATACAGTATATGCATTTTTTGCAGTACAAAATTATAAAATAAGGACCATTTTTGTTAGAGCTACATAACCGAACACCAATTTTTTGTCACCCACTTGCGCTGCATTACAACAGCAAGTTGTCATTCTTATAAAGAGCAGTCTGCAGTTTAATCAATAATTTTAAAAGGTCTACTTGTAAGAAATACTGTGTATGATATTTGTTCATTGATCATTGTTTATTTAAATTATTCTTTAAATAAAAAAGAGCAATTATTGCACTTTATGAACATTGCTGAAATATAGACTATTATTATTACTCACATGTATGAATGTTCCTCTTTTGCAGCCAAATATGTGCAAATTTCATGTCATTATGACATTAACATTTTTCACATCAAAATTTTAAGAATTTATTCATTCCAATATTACTTAGGGGCATCCTTTAAATACTTGTGGTTGTACTTTTTTCCTTAAATGTTTTATGAATCTGAAAACACAAACAATATATTGTTTCTCTTCTGTTGAAACATGCAGAATGTGAATTCATTATATATATTTTTTGCACTGGGCTAATGGAATTGCTTGTCTTGCTCATCAAACTCCTGCCTGGTGAAGCTGAGCAAAACAACAAAAAGAGACTCGTTACAAAGCTGCACTTCAGTGGATTATACTTTGAATCCATCCTGCTACAGTGCCAATATTGCTTTGCAGTTCCTTATATCCATTCAATCAGTTGCTTTGCTACTTGTCAGTCTCTTTGGAGTCACACATCTGCTGCGTATTTGAGCTCTTCCTGCCTCACATTCACTTTTCTTTGTGTTGCTGTTTAATTACAAATGTTCTGCTTAAAAGGAACTCACAGTTACAATCTCCCCCCTACAGGGAAGCAAAACATTCTGTACAGAAAGGTTATTTTACAGAAACATTGTACTGAGATGGAAGAAGGGTGTTATTAGTTCCAGTGCTCAAATGATTTGTCATACTGAAATAAAAAACACATTACAATTATAACTTAATGACACATATATTGAAAATATGCCATGTGAAACTACAATACACATACAGCACTGCTATTTCAGATGACAGGGAAGTGACAGAGAATATAATGTTACTGTACACAGTAACCTTTTTCTCCCAGCAACCTAACAACTCCCTTTTAAATCTCTCACAAATATCAACTATCTTTAAATAACTTGGTTGGTATTTAAATACATAATTGAATGAAATAAAATTGACTTTTTTTTTTAGAATGTCTGCACACTGAACCCTCAGCTCTCTATGCCCCTATTGACCGTAAGCACTTCCTTTTTTTCAAAAAAACGTCCCAGATTGCAACCCCAGGCATTTCTCAAAAAGAGTAGTCCTGGCCAAATTTCCCCCTCTCCTTTATCAATCAGGTCTCCTAATAATCCCCATCTATGAACTGTCTTCATTTCTCTGTTCTCCTCCATGATGATAGCTGATGTGTGGTGAGAATACTGGTGCACTTTGGCCGCTGTCACATCATCCAGGTGGGGGCTACAGTAGTTGTAGTTGAGGGGAGTCCCCATTACCCGTAAAGCACTTTGAGTGGACTGTTTGGAAAAGTAGAGTGTAAGGTATAATTATTATTAGTGCCAGATACAGATCAGAACTACACACTGGCCCTCAATAGGTTTTGACAGAGCACTCTGAATGGCTTTTCTAAAATATAACACTGCTTAAATATTTGTACTCCTCACATTAGGGCACAACGGTTCATCTTCATTAGCATGTTTAAGGTGGAGAATAGAGCACCACCTCTATAATGCGAGACATGTCTGCTGTAATGGGATACTCTCTTTCTGATATGCAAGCCCATTAAATATGCCAAGGAAGAAAAAAAAATGAGCACAAAAAGTCATCTGACCTCCCAGTGCAAGCCGAAAACTTCAAAACAAGTTCTATTAAGTTAGAAATCTTAACCGCATTTGAAGCTTTATGTCTGAGCAAGATTACATTTTTCACCATTCTTCTCCTATCATAACCCTCCCTTGTAGAGATATCAATGTGTATTCACTGCCCACCAAATGCTATGAGCTTTTAAATGAGCCACATCACAGCAAAATCTTTTATTTTGTTATTAATAATTAATTCCATATATATATATATCTTATCAGAATGAAATTAGCCAGTCACAACACAAATGTGAGCTGTGATTAATTTCAATAAAGGACATGTTCAAACAAGATACAGTGCCTTGCGAAAGTATTCGGCCCCCTTGAACTTTTCAACCTTTTGCCACATTTCAGGCTTCAAACATAAAGATATAAAT